CGGGCCGGCGCGGTGCGGTGATTGGTCGGCGGCTGGCCGCGGCTGAGAGCCCCGCGCGGCCGGGCGCGGAGCGCAGGCGGAGCCCGGGTGCCGAGTCGGGAAGATGCTGCTGTCCCTGGTGCTCCACACTTACTCGATGCGCTACCTGCTGCCGGGCGTCGTGCTCCTGGGCACGGCGCCCACCTACGTGCTGGCCTGGGGGGTCTGGCGGCTGCTGTCCGCCTTGCTGCCCTCCCGCTTCTACCAGGCGGTGGATGACCGGCTCTACTGCATCTATCAGAGCATGGTGCTCTTCTTCTTCGAGAACTACACCGGCGTGCAGGTGAGGCGCTTCCGCCCTCGGGCGCGGGCGCATCTTCCCAGCCTGGACCCCTCTCCCTCCCGCACCCAGGTGGTTTAGCATAGTTCTGCCCGCCTGGCAGCTCCAACCCCAGGGACGTGTGCCATCACCCATCCTCCCGCGGTGACGGCAGTTGCAAGTACATGCTTTGAGGGTGGGCCGGATCCTTCCTTGCAGGTGCTCGGAGATCTCGAGGAAGCAGTAGTAACATCGCTCTGAGGTTACAAGTGGGATCATCCGCCCCCGTCCGGTGTTACTATCTGTCTTGGTGCTTAGCGAAGTAGGTTCGATGAACATTTTAACTAGGGCAAGCATCTGATGCTTTGCATTTAGTCCAAGGAGGTGGTGATGTTGGAACAGGATACGTTTGCACTGAGAAGTGCGCTTTTACAAAGACCTTCTCTTGAAACAGATTGATGTTACTGTTCGGGCAAGAAGTACAACTCTGTTTTGTGTTCTTCTCCAGTACAAGAGAAAGCTGGGCGAGGAAATTAATACATTTGTTACAGTAGAAGTGTTACTGTAGATAGGATTCTTGCCAGCTTTGACTAGGTTTAAATGTGTGGCAGATCTTTTGTCTGATTACTTTCTGTTACTGTTTCTCTCTCTAGAGACTGGATTTGTAGATTAAACTCGGAAAACAAAGTAGAAGGTCCTCTTACCATTAGTTATTTTAGGTCTCACAAAAAAATAACAACTTTGAATTTTTCTTTTATTTCTCATTTTGAGAGAAGAGTTTGATTCTTGGTTATATTTAATGTCCACTTAGTCCTCCTTTTCTTTTCTGGGTGAGGATGAGGGTGGGGAGAATGGGACGGTATCTTTTTGTCTTTTTTCCTTTCTGCCTTTTTTTCCCACCTAGAGCAGCTTTCTTTTACCCTGTGATCAGCCAGCCATGTATTGACTTTGCAGCTGCACTGCTATTTGATTCCTGATGCGTATGAGTTTGCTCCAGTTGAAGATTGTTTGGGGTGAAGGGAACTAGGAGAGGCCAGGGTCTCCATTTAAGCCAGTGTCTGTAAATGTTTCCTAGGAAGGAAAGAAAGATTGCTGTTTCACGTCTTGGTTTCCTGGTAATTGGCTATTAAAACAGCCTCATTTAAAGTTTTCACAAATTGAGGCTGATCATTTCCTCCCTATTCTCTTACTTAACCAAGTTTGTCTAAATGTATGGTTTTATTATTGTTGAGTACATAATTCACATCATATGACATCTGCCCTGGGCTGGAGTACAAACTCAGAACACAAAGTTAGTTGTCTCTCCGAAAAATAATTCTACCCGTGGTGGATTATTTTATTTTTCTTCGAAGAATATAGTATGTTCCATGCAATATGAGTATAATGTAGAGTATACCACTGAAGCACTTTGTGTTTGGCAATTTCTTATTTTTAAAAATGATTGTGAAACTTCACAGTGTTTCTGAAATTACTTACTTTTCCTTATGTACTGCTGACTGCAGATTCCAATTTACTTCTTGATTTCCCAGCAAACGTTTTTTAAAATATTTAATCTAGTGATTTCCCCCCTCTATTATAATAATCTTCATGCATTTATGTAAAGATGTCTGATGGTTCTTAAGTATAATTCAAAATTTTATTTAATGCGTGTTCCTCGATGCAGTTTGTTAGGAATCTTAGAACTGATTGCCCCCTAATCATCAAATGCATGTTATGAACATTTAATTAAAATATAGACCCAAGAGTGTCTTGTTTCTGCATTTTTTTTTTTTTTTTTTGGCTAGGAATTATTTACTGTTTAGTAACAGGGAACAGGGTATTTAGAATACGTTAGGGTCTTTTTCTGGAATTTGGGTTTCTGGTGTAGACAAGGCTACCTTCCAGTATTTTTGATGGTTTCTTTCTTTTTTTTTTTTCCTTTTTGTCTTTTTCACTGACCGGTAACGGGATCGCAACCCTCGGTGTCGCGCCCGTTCCGGGGACCGGCAATGGGATCGCAACCCTCGGTGTTGCGCCCGCACCACATGCGCCCGCACCACACTCAGCCAGTGAGTGGGAACCAGTCTCCACATGGGATCTGAACCCTCGGCGGGAGTGCCGCCACACTCCCAAGTGGCGCACTCTCCAGTGCGCCACCGGGCCGGCCCTTGATGGTTTCTTTTAAGATTAAATCAATAGAGGAATAAATAGCTATCTTCAAATATTAAATCCAAAGAAAAAGTTTTATAAGGACATTCTGTCACCTTATTCTTATTTTTTACTGTTATTTTTTAACATTGACTTTGTCGAGAGGTTTTGATTAGAATTCTAGCTTGTTTGTGTTTTGCTAGGAGACTTTTTTTCTTTACTTGAATCGTTTATCAGCTTTCATTTGCAAGATTAATGATGATTTCCTTGTGTGTAAAGCATTGTTGACTCATTTCTGAAGGAAGATTTAGGAATTTTGAAGGATATATGTTATTAAAAGGAAGTTCATTAAATTATATGCACTGAAGAATTTTTTTTTTTTTTCCTTTGTGAGACCGGCTGCACCGCGCTCAGCCAGTGAGTGCTGTGAGCGCACCGGTCATCCCTATATAGGATCCGAACCCGTGGCGGGAGCGCTACTGCGCTCCCAGCGCTGCACTCTCCTGAGTGTGCCATGGGCTCAGCCTGAAGAATCTTTAAATTAGAGGGTTTTTTTTTTTTTTTTTGATGGTATCTTTATGCCTTTTAACTCTAGGTTTAAAATGAAACAGTTTATAGTAGTTGTTACAGAATATTTTCTTTTGCATAGAATTTTTAAGCTGAACAGCACTAAGTACATGAAGTTTATGATCTGTGCTTGGCAGGTAAACCAGCTTCCAACAAGTTTACTTGGATGTTTCATTGCATTCTAGATAAACATTTTTTCTGCCCTATTTTCACTACTTTATTTGCATATGTATCTCTAAGATAGGAAACAATTTCAAGTGGTGTTACTAAAATTATTCTTTACAACTTGGTTAATCTTTTGGGTTCCTCCAGAATCTCTCATTAGTACTGAATCTCAACTGGGTGTCTTCCTTTAGAATAAGTAATAAGAATTTAATAAGTATTATGAATTTCACTTAATTTGAGACCCTTTGAAGATAATCATGAGTTTCCTTACTATTTGGGGAAGTATTGATTAAAGTAACTGTGTTACTTTCCTGTGGCTGCCTTAACAGATCGCCTCAAACTTAATGGCTTAAAACAAGTTTATTCTCTCACAGTTCTGGAGGGCAGACGTCTGAAATCATGGTGTGGGCTGGATTCTGTACTCCCTCTGGAGGCTCTAGGAGAGAATCTGCTCTTTGTCTCTTTCAGCTTTTGGTGTCAGCAGTCCTTGACTTGATGCCACATCACTCCAGTCTCTGCCTCCTTGTCCCATTGCCTTCTGCTCTTCTGTAAGTCTCAGATCTCCCGCTCCTTTTCTCTTATAACAACACTTATATTGGGTTTAGGGCCCACCCACATAACCCCGGATGACCTCCTCATCTCAAGATCCTTAATTTAATTAGTCATCTGCAATGACTGCTTTTCTAAGTAAAGGAACATTCAGAAGTTCTGGAGCTTAGGATGTAAACACATTTTTGGGGGGGCCACCGTTCAACCACTACAATAATGAACTGTATGGCTCTGCCTATCCACTATTTTTGTTTAACTTTGCTTTCTTTCTTTAGGTATTTACATATTGAGCATTTTACTGTCTGCTTGCTTTCTTTAACATGCTAAAGTAAAAGGAGCCCCATTCTCTATGCTAAGGTTGCTATTAAGATAGTTTCCTGTATTCTTTTAATTTTTTATCTGTAAGAAAAAGAAGAGCATTTGATTTGTTGTCTTATTTTCAGAACCAATCTGTATTTAATATACTAACTAGCTTCTTATTTACTACCAAAATGGTGTTCTTTTAATTCTTAATTGATTCTGAAATTACCGTTTTGTGGTAGTATAGCAAAACTAACTAGCTTCTTATTTACTACCAAAATGGTGTTCTTTTAATTCTTAATTGATTCTGAAATGACCGTTTTGTGGTAGTATAGCAAACAACAACAACAACAACAACAACAACATTACCGTTTTGTGGTAGTATAGCAAAAAACAACAACAACAACAACAAAGCCCAAAAAACAAAAAAAATCCTAACCTGAAAACCTGATAAATTAGAGGTAATATAACTTCTAAGCCAAGACTTTATTATGTGTAGTATAGTGAATATGTTGGCATTTGGTTTTGTTCGCCACTACAAAACCAGACAGGTTAGGAAGTAACTGGAACGCAGGGTGCTTGCAGACTCAGAACAAGAGGCCTTGTGTATATCCTTGAGTTGAAGTTTAAGGAAAACTTGTGGGATGCTAAAAAGAAAGTGGTAATACTGGCAGAGGGAGGGGTTAGGACTCATGAAAAAGGAGTGAAGGCAACGTAATTGCTGTCATCTCTAGTTGAGGTGAAACTAGATTTATCCTACTTTCTATCCTAGAATTCTAGATGTATCCTCAGTGTTGAGATAGCTGCATAAACCATAACTGTAATAATTATGATAAATAATGAAAAACCTTTTTAATATGTGAAGCTGATAAAAGTTAATGTAATGTTTTAAATGTCAGAATTCTTTTCTTTATTTTTTAAAAAAGGCCTTTTCCCTCATTCCAATGAAATATACTAAAAATTGATCAGTGATATTTGCAGGCCAAAAGTATCTAGTGATTTGAAAAATGCCTCTTCATCCACCTAATAAATAAAAATATTTATTCAATCACCATTTTATTCAATCACCTGCTTAAATCAGTTGGTAACACTTGGAATTTATTCTAAAATATATTTTACATTAATGACTATTATTATGGAAATCAAAGGAAAACATGACTGTATATGTGTATTTACTTTCCCTATTTTGTAAATTTGTTTAGTTTTGTGGACCTGACCAAACAGAGTTGATGCTTCTTAAATGGAATTAGAAGTTAATTTTTCCTTTAATATTTTCTCATTTTATTGTGGTTTCTGAAACAGAGGTTGATATTAAT